CCTACTTTGTTGGTTACTTTAACGGATAAACCCTGATTAATTCAGCTTGGCAGAAGCCTAAGAGAATCATTGTAACTATCCTAAGCTCCGTATGACGAAACAGATTTGAGGTTACGCAAGACGAGCAGCTTCTAATACGTATGTAAGCTATTAATACATAAGACAGGTACAGAGATGCGATCGCTGCATTGTAGCAGAAAGATCACGAACTTTTGCACTCCTAGTCCATCAAAAGTAACTCAAGACTGGCAATTTAAATGCTCTAATAAGCACTATGATCATCTCGTAATAGTCCATTTTTACTTATTAAAGCGAATGCTTAAACTAGTGTTTGAGATGGGAAGATTCACTGGAGAAATAGTCAACTATGCATGCTTGGTTTGCAGACACTTCATTCAAGACTCCGATAGTGATACAGCATCAATTTCCGCGAACGCAAAGGATCAATCTGACTTAGTTATGAATGCAAAGACCATCAGTCGCTATGAGGTGAAATGGTTTATTCCGCTCGAGCAGTTGAACTCCCTCGATTCTAAAGGGATAGGTGGGTCTCGTTTATTAACGGTAGTAGAGGAACGTCTACTTCTACTAATGGTACATTAGGTCTACCAAACTACCGTGTAACAGTCACGTTGCTTTAAATATTTGGGATTCCATTTACTATAGACAGTCGAAAATACATAATAGTCGCGCTTTTAATCTACACAGTTTTTGTTTTCATACATATTTAAATTGTGTAGCATTCGATGAAGAATACCTACTTGAACGTCTCCAAAAGATTGAAACTCTGAAGCGTAAAATAGTAAAAGCTCGGCAGGAATTGCAAGAGGAGACCAGTAAGTTGGACAAAGAGGTAGGCTTATTACAATAACACGGGAAGATTATACGATCAGCTATTTATAAGCCCACTTTTATGGCACTTTAGTCGAAAAGGCAGAAGTTGAAATTCCCCAAGATTCATAGGCTTCGGTCTTATCTCTATGATCTAGTGAGTTTTGCTAATTTGTGGGTATTTTAAGGTGTTTAAATAAGGCGAACCGAATAAATAGCTAGAACGATTAATGGGCCAAGGCTCTAATTGCAAGCTTCTAAATGGTTTTTTTCGTCAGCAAGCGGAATTGGTTCTGCAAGCGCCGAAGCTGCCATTATTCATCAGTGCAGCTGATGGACAAAGATACTGCCTTCTAATGGCCTCAGAAAAGGAACGCATCGCCTGGGGATCCGCCATTATGAGTGCAAAAGCTGCCTGTAGACCGTCGTCTAGACGCCAGAGTTCAGCCCCGGTAGGTTGAAACATCTAAGTCCACTCACTTTATGCAATTTTTTCATCAATTTCAAAGGCATAATAGCTGCTGACGTTATTACAAACAGTTATTTTAATATAGAGTGCTATAAGGTTGGTTTGTATGCATTTTTTTTCAAGGTCTCAAAGCGCAATTCGATAATACGACCATTTTCTGCCATCCGTGATTCACGACGTACTGCCAATGCGCACAAATTGAGCATTGATTCAGAGACGTCAGCGCAGGATGAGATACTGAAAAATGAGCTTTCCCACATGATAAACCACTGTAAAACTGTAAGTCACAACTATTTATGCACTATATATTAAAACGGATTTTTTTCGTTCTAGGCTGTTCCTCTCAGTAAATTGGGGAAAGTGATCATTTCAGGCAAGTGAATTAATTAATACATGAATGCCAGATTCCATAGAATGAAATTAATATTTTATTTAATAAATAGGGAATGCTTTAAGCGGAATCTTGGAGGTACATGTACACGAAATTGGTGGACTGACCGAGCCTGGGCGTAAGTTTTTCACCTCTTATCAACATCACTTGATGTATTTTAATTTACTTCTCTTCGAAAGTATTTACTATCAAAAGTATGCTACCATGGATTTGATTGCCTTTCTCACAGCCTACTACGTTGCAATAGAAGTTGACTTTTATGGTCAGTTTGAATTGGTGGCCAAGACAAAAAGCATAAATACCAAGAATCCTCGTTGGGACCAGGTGAAAAAGTAACAATTAACTTGTATTCACTACTAAATAGTTTATACTAACAAAATTTTCTCCACTTTGATTTAGACATTTATTTTTGAAATTGAGACATCGCAGACAATTTGCTTTACTGTATTTCGACAATCAGTTGTTTTTGGACAATTGGAGTTGCCGGCAAGTCTATTTCCTTTTTGCACATCATCAACGATCACAAAATCACAATGCGATTCCTGAAATTTTGTGTTGTTACTTTCTCTTTAGCTTTAAATGCAAAAGCAGAAAATAAAACGCCTCTAGAAATACATATAACACCATATGTCTCCCCTATAACGTGGATAATGACAAAAGTTTACTTGAGGAAATGACTGATGCAGAGTAACAACTCTTCATCACCGGTTAGATGTGGCGTAAAACCAACTTAAGACCTTGTTAAAGTACTAAATTATTACCAAAACTTTTTGGTTAATTGGCTATGAGCTACAGAAGTGTGTCAAAAATTTGGATCCAATTTCTTATAATTGAAGATGTTTATTGTATATATTGATAGCTTGAAGAAGACCAACTCGATCAAAAGAATGCATCCCACAGTTTAAAAACCAATGAAACCACCTCGGAACCAGTAAGCTCTCAAATTATGACCTTCCCATAAATGTCAAACATCTCTACACTTATTTTCATTTAATTTTAGGTATATTTACAAACATCAATTTTGTACAATGAACGAGAGAAATCCACTGCGAGGTCGAGATCAACGAAACAGTCGGATGTATTTGGACAACCTCTTGAGGAAGTTTTGAAGTTCGTACCGGCTGTTTAGTTTCACCTGTAGAAATCCGAAATGCCTTGACTATAAAATTTTCACGTAGACATGTTGACTGCCGGTAAATGGTCCTCACAGTGAAATGAATGTGACGTTTCATAATAAGAAATGCCACTAAAATTCCGTTTGGAACTATTTGTCAGATGGGAAGCTGAACCTTTTAGTAGTAGTAAAATATACTAATTGAATGTTTACATAAATAAGCTATAAATTGCGCATACACTCGTTAGTAAGAAACTGGGGTTGAAACCTGGTATTTCTATTAGAGATTCCCACACAGAAGTGATGCAGAATATTTCGTCTAGCTCCCAAGACAAAAACATTTGAAAGGAAGCTTCAGCGGTGTCAAGTTCTTGTTATTTTACATTAAGCACTTAAATAAAGTATAAGTGAATTACGAATTTACGTTTTAATTTACTTTAACTCTAGACGGGACCAGGCCGATCGGGAGAGATTGAAGAAACAGATAGGCGGTAATAAGAACTACGAGGAATTGCGAGTTCCTGTGCTGGTTACTGCCTGCGTGGAAGAGATCGAACGACGAGGGCTTCAAGAAGAAGGCATCTATCGAATTTGTGGCGCCATCACTACCGTCTCCCGCCTTCAGGATCTTTTTGATCGTGGTAAGTTACCGAAGAGCTCTATGCATCAAATGGCATTTTTCCGCGGTGATAGTAAACTAGGTTGTTCACGTCTATGTTATTCAAAGTACAATGCACACTTCCGTGGTTCACTGATATGTTTCACCATAAAGCAATAAAAAATTCTCATTTAAATTATGCGTAATGCAAGCTGATCAGATTCCGTTGGTTCACCTCTCATCGATATCCGACCGTGATCTTCATGTATTTTCCTGCCAAAGTTATTCCGATGTCCATGTTTAGAGAGAGTATTCAAAACTTCGTTGGACGATGCCTGGTTAGGGTGGAATAGTGTTTATTTTCCTTTAATGTAGCTATTTAAGGCAAATTAGTTTTCATTATTGTAGATATAAAACTTCAACTAGTTCATTTTACTAGAATCAGTATTTGCCGTTTGTTATCTTGGTTTCTTAAATTCCAGTGCCAAAAAGACCTTGTTCTAGTGGCAGCATCAATCAGGAAAGAATTACACTGTATCAATTTTATGCCCTAGATACCAGCTTGGCTGTCAAGCAAATTGGAGACTACGATATCAATGTGATAAGCAGTCTTTTAAAAATCTTCTTCCGCGAACTCCCAGAACCAGTAATACCCACAAACAGCTTTGGTGATCTTGTCAAAGCTTCAGGTACTTTGTTTGACTGTAAATGGATTCTCCATGCAGCACAACACACTTGCATGGCAAAGGCTAGTCTTGCCGTCATTTTCATATAATTTCGAAGTATTAGCGAGGGCATAGAACACCTAATACTCTGAATGCCAAATATCTTCAAATTTCCGGTGACAACAATGGCAAGCAGAATGCTATAACTGCTTAAGTACCTGTCCCTTGGAGATGAGATTAGTAAAATGGTCAAATAATTGTGCGTGTTTATTCTATAGCATACTCCGATGAAACAGAAAAACTGGCAGAATTCAGTCGTATCTTGCAGAAAATGCCTCGGGTGAATTTGGACACCTTTCGATACCTCATGGATCACCTTATTCGGTAGGTGAATCGCACTTAATCATTACAATTCCTTTCGACTTTTCCAAAATTCAAATAATAAAACTTACTGAGACTGAATAACCTTAAAAGCTGGTTACAATTTTACCGAGTTTGTGGTTCTATCTATGTCTTAGATATTGAGGGTTGAATCAACTCACTTCATTTAAGATTGTTATATAGCTTGAAATCAGGTTATATAGATCAATTATTTCATTTAATTCAACTTGGTTTGCTTAAGGTGTTAATTAGGCTGAACACGGTTTGAAAGTGCCTTTACCTAGTTTAAGGAAGGAGCATTATTGTTCCTCATCAAAACCAAAACCAACACAATTTCCTTGGAAATCCATATCAGTCGGAATGATCACACCAAATTCGTTCGTATCAATGTAAATATAAGAGCAAAATAAATGTGGGAAATTCACTTAGCATAGTCTAGTAATCCAGTTGATTGTTTATTTGCTTCTGTGCAGGGCCACGTGCAATGCATCATAGGACTGCAGAGTCACGGGTCACTTAAGTGATTTCAGTTTAAGAAGCCACTTTTTTAACATTCTCTAAATATTTTTTTCTAACATTGCCCCTCATATACAATAAAGCACTCAAATAAGTAGAGCTTTGAAACTGATAACTTTTTCATAGGGCAAGGCAATAAAAGTGCAAAACGAATACTTGACCCAAATAAGTTATTTAACGCAATTTAGCAAGAGATATGTGTGCCTTTACACTTGAAGTGATTCACTTCAATTCCAGAGTGTGCCAATATGAATCGGACAACAAGATGAATTTGGGGAATCTCTCAGTAATTTGGGCAATGACTCTGTTCCAGCCAGAGACCATGTCCGCACCTCAACTAGTCCCATCCACTACTGCGGAGACCTCAGACGCCAAAAATGCACCTTCTCATTCATTGCAGTCAGCGACATCGGCTAGCATGCTTCAGACCATGGTGCTCGGCACAGTTTTCGATGCCTACGCCAACGGAAAGTTGGCTTTGTTAACCCATAGAAGTGCTTTTTAGATTATTTGTATGTCACCTATTTGTACCTCCATTTTAGTATTTTCTTCTATGAACGAACCGATTGATCTCACGGTCGGGGGCTATCCACTGTAATTTAAGACTTTTATCAAAAAGTCTTGCATGACTAGGACACGCATTATCAAGCTATAAGTTATTGGAAATTAGTAGATATTACATAATTTCAGCATACCGTTTAAGAGACGTATCTTGGTTAATGTATTTCGAGGACATACATTGTTCTCTAAATCATCGCTCCATAGTTTTATTAATTTCCTGAGAGTGTTGCATCCGAGTGATTGCACAATTTTTTGATCTAAATGGATCTAAAGGATAGTAACCGGCTATAATACTTCTGACACCATAGATTGCCAATGCCCGCTAAAATGGACAGTGGTTGCTCTGGCACCTTTCGGGTTTGATGCTTTGGACTATCGATGTAAGAATATGTTTTCCAACTATGAGGACTCAGGAAGAGCCATCTCAAATCTTCGGAAATCTATAAAATCACCATTTGTTTTAATCATTGTCACTGGCGGACTATATCCAAACAGACAAAATAGGAAAAAATACTCATTAAGGTTGGATAGCCTACATTTCTGTAAACTTATTGACGATATTTATTGAAGCATTAAGAAATGCGTGGTAGCCTTGCGGCAACTTTAAATTTGACTTGATAAAATCCCAAAAAACCTAGGTTTGGCAGCTGGTTTCTTGCTTTCACCATACGATGTGCATCAATGAATTATCATCTAACCCCTGATTCAGGTCAAATACAGCTTCAAAGACCAAGGTTGTGAATAGGTTAAAGTGCGGCTAGTGTTACAGTGAGCAAATTATGCATTCTTCACACCACTAATAAGCATTTTAAACTGTAGGGTGGGTTTTAAGTTAGGGAGCTATGTGGACATAATAAGCGTTTTATTGCTTACCACTTTCCCAAAAAAATTCACTTAAAATAAAAAAAATTTCAAAACTCTCCGACGTTGAATCAACACTACCCGAGTCATAGTGTCTCATAACTATTAAACTGATACAATAGGCAAGCATTGTAGAAAATATTTCAAGCCTTGACTGAAACACCCGAATATTTGAAAATAATGAGCCAAATCGTGACATCTTTCTGCTGTAAATTTAAGAGATTTCTGCTGTGTTTTTTAAAAACTGTAAAATATCTTTTTCCTGCTGCTCGGGTAGTCTACGCCTTAGCAACAAATGGCGTTTGGCTGAAGTGTTTTATAATTCTGAGGAGAAAATTAGCTTGGCGGTGCCAAAGCTAGTAACATGGAAATTTCATATACAATACGTTTCTGGTAACTGGGGAGCTGACAAAACCGAGTCGTTGAGATTAGTAATGAAGAGACATGAAAATCATAATGTTCAATCACCTTAACTTTAACATTGTGTTTCAGTTGCTAGAGCCCTAATGCTTGCAATACTCCTCAATTCTATTGTCTGATTTATTCTACAAGAACGAGCCATAAATGACTGAAGTTGCAGAAAAGTTCTCTTTGTGATGCCACAAGAATTAGCCAGTGATATTTAGGAGATTGCATTTTTCATTGGCATCGTGAAGTTTTGGCCGGAAAAACTCCTACCTCTAGTACAAAACTAGACAAAACAGTTTTGACCCAAAGTGATATTAACATAAAGAATGGCTATTCTATACGCTTATCGGTGGATTCCGAATGTGTGTGAGGAAGATAGCGGAATGAAGCCCCTTTTCCATTGACAAAGGGTTGTAGGGAAAAGGTGGAGCATCAGTAGGTATCATGAGTTTGAAATTTGAAGCGTGAAAGAGAAACTTACATTTTTCTGCACACCAAAAAAGCAGGAATTTTTTCAGCCCAGAATGTAGTAAATAGGAGCATTCAGGATATATTTAATACTATCCTGCAAAATTTTGCCTGATGAGATTATGGAGATGAAAACATAAACCTTGCACTAAGATCTTGTCTACGAGAAGGCTCTTATTCAGTGCGGCTATCCTAATCGTTGATTGCGTACTTCGAACAGTAAAAAGATTTTAGTTCAACTAGAACTATACTTCAGAACAAGAATTAAGTCTCCTCTTGAAAAAATGAAATATGATCTTATCATGCACCTGTATGCACAAAAAATATTTACACTTAAGAGCACGAGCATTAGCAAGTCGATTCTACAACTAATTTCTCTGTATAATGATATAAGGAAGTCGTCAGAGCTTAACCAAGATTTTCTGGGAGTTTGTTAAACAAGCACAATTTTATCCCATTTTGCATCCATTATTTTAGAAGTTGGACACCTAAAATATCGTTTGTGGGAATGTCGGTAAAAATCATATCAATATGATTGATTGCGGATATGCTTGAGTAATGTCAATTCTTTGAAACATTCCTTCCAGTCTTAAAGTCACCATGCTTCCTTGGTGAATAACGTCACCTTTTTATAGAACGAGAATCATGTTAAAATATTTTCTGGTGAGACCTACAACAATCAGAGGTAGGCATTTTGTGTAGTTTTGCACATGACTCAAGAGGGGAAGTCTACTCTAAAGTCAATCAAAATGTGTATTTAATTTAATGTACAACATTTAAATCCTGAATATCCGTATCCGAGGTAGCATGACCATTCATGAACACTAGTATTTGGCGTAACAAATCCAACAATGCAAAGCAGGAAAGAAGAGTTAACCTGGGAAATAGACCACTCGTTTTTACTAACAGTTCAACCATGTGGATATTTTACAGTTTTTTAAAATATATTGAGACCCACAAATCCATCGAACATTGATAATGCAAAATAAGGATCTTTTGACAAAGAATAAATTAATTTAAACTGTACAACTATGCAAAATATTCTCTCCTTTTCAAGAACCATTATGCGTACCGACCTTCCATCTTTCACAATTAAAGATGCTAATTAATAACCAGTGGTTGTAAAATGAAAATAAGGTCAATACCATGGTTGCAACGGTTGATTGAGCAATAGTGGCATTATATTTGCATAAACCAATTGTGTGAAAATAATTTCATATCACCAGAATTAAAACTTGAGCTGCGTTTTTTTGAATGTGAGAACAATTAAATTGAGGTGGTGGTGATGTTTTAACTAATCGATTCCCTCATCAACTTAGGTAGATTCATCATGGTTCAAAGGTTACTTTTTTGACTTGGTTGATGGCATTTTGACGCTTGATTAGCTTGTCTATGGGAACAGTAATCCCATCTCATAATCACTGCCATAAATAAGGATGTATCGCAAATCAGATTGCCAACATGACGATAGAATCATGATTCGGCCAAACAAATTACCTTTTATAGTTGACATTCAAGAATCTACATTTACGAGTGGGAGCACAAAATTTTACATTTAAACTACCTAAATTAAAAGTTGCACTGGAATGAGTGCCAAGATCAGCACAAAACGACGTAAAACTGTAGAAAGGAAGGAATTCTATGTAGTGAATACACCAAACTTCATTGTAATTTAATTCTTTTAAAAGGTCGTCCGTAAATGCTTAGACGCATTTTAACTTCAGGGGCTATTGGTCTCTGCAGACTGCAATTTCACTAGGCCGCATGGCTCTCCGGCCATACCTACAGCCTCTCGACTCATATGCATTTAAATTACAAATCTTCCACGCCAATCATGATCTCAGGAAAGGCCGAAGACGTCGCACGATAAAATCCAGGCCAAAACACAAATAATTCTGCTTTTTAACGATGTTCAATGACCTTTTTACTAGTTAGAAATGAATAAAAAGATGTTACAGCCGTGAGATTATCCTTTCTTCTGAACCGGTAAAATCTGTCATGAAACGGGGTGCAATTACGGTGAGACCTCTCAATACCTGCACCTGATTAAATATTAAGATTGTGGTACTTTTAAAAAAGTTATAATACTTTCGTATGCTATCAGGTTAAAGTCTTTACTTAAAATATCAACAGATACTAATTTGATTTGCAGCCAGGTTAGATTAATTTCATACCTTGACTTTTCTAAATTTATATTTGCGGAGAGCCTTGTATATATTTGTGACAAGAATTTTACTTAACAAAGCGCACCTACTGAGAAGTTAATGCTTACTTTTAATGAAAAATCAACCATGGACACTTGCTATAGTAGATGCTATCGGTTGTGGGTCGTTGTCCCGACTATACACAAATCGCACCCAAAACATCTAACCATGGCGGCGCAGGCTTCGTTAAGTATCCACATTTGCATGGTCGTCGTGAGTAATGCAATGCGATGGGTTAAGCACTTTTCAATGATACAGTTTCCAGACATTATTTTTTTAATTATTTCGTCTAGTTCCTCTTTATTTACCCAGAGGGAATTCACCTCAAACTAAACCTCATTTAAAAAGGTAAAAGATGCGGTCAACAGGCGGAAAAATGTCAAACCACTACATAGCCTCCTGTGGAAAAGTAATCAAATATATTCCCATTTTGGAACAAAGCTTTATAAAAAACCAAATCATGAAAAAAAACACCATGTTTATAAAATCACAAGGCAGTGGATTGTGTGGACTAAAGTTTGAAAAGTTTCCTAAACTCCTCATTTTTTTCCAGCATTTGAGCACGTTTTTGGACTTCGAGTTCAGGGATACCATAGACTGGTGGAATCGTGAGACTGGCATAACCAAAGTAGCGCAACATCTCGTAGGATCGGGACTTTTGAATTAGGCTCGGGGGAACTGCAGAGCCTGGTAGAGACCACTGAGTCAGCGCCTCTGTGTATATCGGAAAGACCACCTGCGAGGTACTTCGTTCTTTTCTATAAAAATACGATGACTTTTAGACTCGGTTTTGGGTTTTAGTGAATCAATTAAGGTGCAAATGTTGCGTTATAATAGTGTAATAGTTACGTGGTTTATTCGCGTTGCGTCAAGGTAAAAAGGTCAACATTGAGGAGTTTTATTTAGTGTATCTCCTAAAAATTCATGAATATTGGAAAGCAATGGGAATCAATCAAAGGTATCAGTTGCTTTGTATTGCCGCGATAACGTCAATGCCTATTATTCATGAAAAAATTGTATAGAATGTTACACGCAGATGACACGATTGGAAAATAGGACAAAATCCGCACATGTAAAGGGAAAATCCGTAGTCTCAAATGAATGATTTGTTTTAAAGTAAATAGCTTATTTGTTTAAAGTACTACGAGTGGTTTGAATATATTTACACAAATTTAAATGAAAAAAATCAAATTACACAGCTTCAAAGTAATACTGGGAAATTTCATTTAAAATAGGAGCTGCATGAGCGATAAAACGACCTCCACATGAGCCATTTCTAAACATAAGTAAAACGCGCAACTAAATTTATGGGTGCGTCTGACGCCGGAACAGTAAAATGAGTTGGGACGATGCATTACATGGACTGGATTCTAAAAAGGTGTTTTAGCATAATTTGTGCGTTTTTTACAGGCTAAACTATTTTTTCAGAGGGATTTCGGAATCCGTCGTTTGAAAACTAATATAGATGATATAATGGTTTATTATTAAGTCATCTGGTGAATCCGATGCTGTTAAAATAACCTAAACTAATTTTTCTCAACTAATGCTAAACAATTTTCAGATACGGGGACGACGAGAAACACACAACAACTCTGGGATGGTGAAATAGTGCGCAACGATTGAGTTCACTACTTTAACTGTAATGGCAATGGTATTTAGTTAATAGCACTATGGGAATGAAACTGTAATACAAAAATTCTTGAATATATAGAACGGCAAAGCTGCACAAAATGGGTTTAGGTATGTGACATTAAACATGAAGAATTTTTGTGATTTTTATAAAATAGGGAATTAATGTGATCCTTTTTAGTACTCTTTACTCTTTGGTACTTCTTACCTGTTTGAGAACTAGTTATCGGTCCTAAATGCTGGAAAATTTTTTAGTAACAGTGCATTTTTGAGCTACCCCAAACTCTAATTTTAATGGCCGTAATTCAATGCAGATAGTTCAAAGGAAAAGTATCTGCGGAATGTGATGGATTCTTTCAAGATTAGCTATGCTATGAAGTAAATATTCACCAAGGTACTAAACCAGGTATTAGGATAATACTAGATCAGGAAGCCAAGTCAGCGCAGAAATTCCAGAGGTAAATCCTTCCCAAAGTATGAATAAAGTATTGCCCTCGATTGCGAAACTTCTTACCCATACTTTCCCTTAGCTTCTTTTTTAAACGAATTAACGCCTCAACTGCCAAAATTATTCATGGAATGTTATTTTGAAGGTAAGGTTAAAAATAATCCCAAAATTGTTGAAAAATATCTTTCACTTAAAATTTCCAGATCAGGTAGCAAAACTTATGACAATTATTAATATCATAGCTGTTATTTAATACCAAATTTGAAGATTTTTCTGGTGATTATAGCTCTTGAATGGTAAACGACATCAAATAAAAGAGCGCTAAGAATATTGAAGTAAATTTAGCACCATACAGATGGTGAAAATTTTACCGCTGCGTTTTTGTGACATTTGGCGCCTACTGACTATGTCTTTTAGCAATGATGTGCTACAGCATAAAATAATACATATAAGTAAAAAGGTGAATTTGCGCGATTCTGTTTTTTTATTCTGGTGAAGTTTGCATTAGAGAACGCTTGGTTCAGCTCTTGTTCCTAAACTAATGCAGCAAAAAGCAAAAGCCCCGAAGGGAGACTATTTTATTCGAATAAGACTAATATCAGGAAACATTACCGAAGCTAACGTATGAATAGAAAATTTAAGACTTTAGAAGAATTTTAGGCTAGGAAGATTTGGCTTTTTAGACAGGTGAAGGACATGTACCTTTAACTAATGCTTAAAACTTGCAAATGGCATCTTTAAGTGATTTCAAAAGTGGTCAGAGATGAGAGATCAAGTGCTCAGAAAACCAATTGGAGGTTCTATGCGGGGGCTGAATAAAAGTAGAGAACTTACAAAGGTAAATGCACAAGTACACGAAACAGAAAATGATAGTGCTTACTTTTAAATGTTTATTTGTTTCCTTATTATAACTAAAATTACTTATATGGTTTACCGAGACATTACCCATGGACAAATGACAGAGGAATATTTGATATCACTAGTGGACTACTGCCTATAGGTGCTCAAGTGAAATTTCAGAGCTATTGGAAGTGTATTGTAGGTTGACCATTCTGTGCATAATACATATCTTACAATGAATACCATAGGTTCGAACCAGCAGCTAAAAAATAGAGGCAAATAAACAGACATACCGTGGAAGCTTCACTTCTTGCATATTTTGATCATGCTGCAGAACAACTTCATCCCATGGGACGCCCAGCCATTCTGAAATCAAATATTTGTTTACGTAGCTCAATTTTATTTTAAATAAGTCAAGAAGTAAGAAGTGGGGATGACTGCCAAAAATTATTAGGACTTTACTTTATGTTTTGAATGCGTTTGTGTACAAGAGCTACAAATAATTCATTATTTGGCAAATTCACTTTTCAGGTGGGGTTGAACAAAGAATTCAGCATAGAATATCTTCCAAAAATTCCCTTTTCAAATTAAAAGTATGACTCTTGCCAATGCTAACATTTGAGGGTAAATTCAGCCGTCAAAAATTTTCCAGCCTTTTTTACAGCTTGCCATTCGTTCTGTTTCATCTCTAATTAATTTTCAACACATCTCTTGGCCATCTTAAGCAACTCAGTGAATGCGCAGATCGCATATGGATTGAGATTAGAGAAATGGTTATGTTAATCATTTACTGGATAATAAACAGGAGAGTATCATCATCTGCCAGAATATTTGGAGAACATTAATTGCTCCACACATTCGCCGTAAATTGTGGAGATTAAACAACGCTGTTAGAATTGTTATTCGCTACCAGAACTCAATGAGTTAATTTGGTTGGGTCTGTGCTGTCTGTTATTTTTAATGTGTCACTCAATTTATTAGAATTTGTTCATCGGGCCCAGGTAATTGACTTAGCGCCTATTGAAGCTGGAATTAAAGAAGTTGATGTCAAATCCGAGTTCATTACAGGTTAAGAAAAATGTCCAATATCTAAAAAGTACCTGGGAAATTAGGGAGGGCTAGTAATTTCTTATATTATCACCACAAACATAGAATACACGACTTAAAGGAACCCACCAAGAATGCCCTTCATCTGTTCTCTTGGTCGTAGAACGAGGTCTTCATAGCGAACGACCCTGCATCTTGATGAATTTTGGCAGGCTGGTAGCACCTGCTTGTAGTGATCGTCCCACGCTTGTAACACATTCTCGGGTTTTGAGCGATTCAAGTATTTTATGCCTATGTGTCGTCTAAGAAAAAAACAATGGGCTAGAAATACGAAGAGTACAGAAATGCATCACCACGTCAGAATAGAAAATACACCTGAGCTGCTTAAATTCTGTTTGATATTTTCATTTTTAGAAATTGGTTTTACGAAAAATTTAAATTATTACAAAAGAACTACGTTGTTAGTACAATTGTTCACAAATATTACATTCGGTAAACAAAATTACCTCATGAACTACCTCACTGTCGTCGTTTATTTCAAGATTTCACTTTTAAAATTTGTGAAAAAACCGAGTGAACAATTAGCAATACTATATTCAGCTAAGTTTATGGGAAACCTTTGAATAATTGCATGAATATTCTTATCCATAGACAGCTTTCACATTAGCTTTGGAGCTTAGATTAAAGCACACAAAAATAAAAATGTTAACCAGAATCAAGTTAGAGATATATGTCAAACCATATCCATAATGCGGTGGAGTGTAAAAGATGCATTAAAATATACGCAAACAAATTCCTCCAAAGACATAATTAATCTTTTTCATGTAATTTTATCTTACGAAGACCCTTTTAACTTATATTTTCTTCATTCCGGGGCACCGAAAACAAGAACATTTAGGTTGTTTTGGCTTTGTAACTTGATAGAGACTCTGCCCACTCTTCTCTTAGCAATAGCGTGACAACGAAACACTATCCAAACAAGGAGAGCATGTAACTGTTGAGTGGATAATTGCTAAAGTGAGCCCCTTCATCCCATCTATTTACCCGTTTTTTCCTCACTTTTGCCCTAGAGGAAAAATAGCCACAAGCCGGGTTGCGAAAAATCAAAAAAATTTCGACAAAAGTGCGAGATGTTGGTGATGCACCCCTTTATAGTTTTAACGCTGATTTGGCTGGTTGTTGACCAATTCTTCCAGACGGATGGTCCACATAATTTAAAACGCAAAATAACTGTATGTTTAAGAAGAAACGGAGTGCAGTAGAAAGAGATTCCTTTTTAACTGTTCTTGGGCATTGTGGCAGCATCAGAAAAAATTACTGGCCAAGGAAATCTTATATTATTCCGATTATAAGAAGTTACGTGGCTTTAAATGACACGTTTTGATACGACCAATCTGCGTTGCAGAATAAAGGCACTAGTAAGGCACAAGTAATACCACCCACAATACACTAAATATTCACTTTATCGTAGTTCAGGCTGCCATTGGAAACTTTTGTTTCAAATCAGCTCTACTTTTAACAAACGTCAACACTCTGTGATAGCTCGTTAATCGCAAAACAGTTCCAAATTAAGGATTGTATTGTGTGCTTAATAGCCCTAAAATACACCAATAGTGGAATTTCTTTCGGTGCAACTAGATTAATTACCTGTCTAATTGCTTTTATTCGTGAATAATTTTTTAAGAAAAGTTGTCACACCTCTCTTTGCAAACACAAGACATGGGTATAGTGGTACCTTTTAAAAAGCCAGCCTCAAAACTGCACTCAGTTCTGTTTAAAACTCGAGCTATCTTGATTAATACATTGCATATATCCGACTATTTCTTGATAGGATAGTTGACCGTGAAGGAAATTAGCACCATATCAAGAATGTTTGCCTAAAATTTGTTTTGCAAATAGACAAAGATGTTATATAAGTATTTTGCGATGATAACAAACAAAATAAAATACTTTTTGACAGCTGGCTAGAACTTAAACCAGAAAATTTCCTGTTTGTACTTGTGTAGGGAAATACATGAAATTGAGTGTAACAAAGCTATTGATAAACATCCACGCAGGAGAAATATCCAACAAGATCACGCAAATAGATTCACCTAAAATGATTGCAATATAGGGAGGACTAACAAAAATTTACCTTTTGTAATGTTTATCTGATTCATGAGCGGAGTTAAAAAGTTCACGAAAGTGCTTTGTGTCTACGAGAAAAAAATAGAGTTCGTGTTTAGGCAAGACGTGTTGGCACACTGATATTTTCCTCAAGATTACTAGTAGCTAATGTGGAGGATATCAGAAGTCCATGTACAAAAGAGGGTCGGAAGAATATCTATTTTTGTGAAAATGCAAGGCGAAAGGCAACTTTTACTCATCAAATACTCATATGAAGGCAATGACTGCCATTAATTATAAAATAAATCTTCCTGTGCATTGTTGTCTGACTGAGTACGATCAAAGGTGGCAAGAATCATCCCAGCCTGATGCTACCATGCTCTCGCTGTCTAGCGTGTTACTGACTAAAAAGAAAATCACCAAGATGTTGCAGAATTACTGGTTTTTATTTGATTTTTCTTTGTCCATTAAACTTAATTTTGCGATTTAGGCTAGTTATTTTGAACCTCATAAGTAAGACAGTTATAACTAAATCAAAGTCCATTGAACGAGCTATGGGCTATTCAGAAATTCGGAAAGATGGTGTGGTGTGTTTGATTACGCAACGAGGAGATGAATGATGCAGACATGTTTCGTGTAAAGTGCCATCCAACTCAATCCTTAGTAAAGGTATGCAACTGTATCTTTAAAAATCGGAAGAACCTCAGGACTATTTGGATAAATGGAGTGCTCATTATTTATTCGACACCCATCTTTCATACCTTATTCAGGAGTTCAGGAAAACATGCAAGCCCGAAAGGGTCTTAACCTACACCTATTTCGTATTTTTAAATAAAAGACAACCGTTGAACTGCTTTGATGCAATACAGCATCAGAGAACATCTTCAGCCCAGTAATAGTAACTATGGCAAACTCTCAAATAAGAGGAACATAAACGGAACATTCTTAATGAGATTCCCTACTGCACTTATGGGATGGAAACAAAGGAAATGCAAAATTTCCACTTTTTAAGTAACCAGTCCACAGTCAATGAAGCAGAAAATTGCCGCCGTTTTAAAGGTGTTTCATGCATAAAAATGCAAAAGAGCGCTCTCCCGAAAATACTCGCTAGAGTTGGGCGGTTTTTTTGAAATTTACGGCACTGAAGAAGCCTTTAAAGAGGCAGGACGCTCACCTCAGAACGGAGTTGGTAACGGCTCGTCCATCTCGCACCATGAGAATGAATAGGGATTTAGGGAAGAGATGGAGAAGTTGCTTGAGGCAGAGATCTATAAAGGGGTCCTTGGCACACAGTCGTTCAGCATTAGGACCAGTCTTGTGAATCAACGTGCTGATAGCATGCACAAAAATTGAGTCGACCAGTTCATGCGTAATATTGGCGCCGTGCAGTTGTCCGAATATATGGTCAATTTTAAAAGAGTAAAGATAGAGTATGTGCGGGAGGATGTGGGTTTCTGGACCACATCGCACACTTGGATGCACATCCAATAGTACGCGCATCAGTGTTGTTCCTAAAGGAGCAGAATTCAAAGATCTTTTCAAGATAGGACTAACTATTATTGTTTAACTCAATCTCCTGCACGGAAACATTTCAGCATTTTTCACAACATAAAGCATGTACGTAATCCGCAGTTAATGTGAATCCCTTAAGCGGGGATTTGACTTAATTTGTATAAAATAACCGTTGCATGTTTTACTTCTTGATAATCATTACCCACTACGATAACTACCAACTACTTAGGTTTTGGATTTATTAACCATTTGCTGCGACTTTTCATAATAGGAGTTCACAAACGTAGTTCTAACGTCAAAAGTGCATATTCATCTTTTTGTTCATCGGCTAATGTACTTTCGTGTAAATTTTCTGATATGGCTTAGTTCATCCAATCGTTAGATGAAGCAACTATCGTGAAGACAGAGCCGCCACGATGACCTCCAAGTTACGAGGTGTTGCAATAGCTACAGCAAGGCTCCACTTAAGTGAACAATTAGAACAGAGTGCAACGTCTCGCAATGTGTAGTGAGCAAGACCTTCAGGCAATCACTTCGCCACCTTATCTTTGTCGTATCTGACCATCTCGATTGCAGCTATTGCAGAGGACTTACGGAACAGTTTGAACTTGAATGACGAAAGAGGGTAAAAATCGTATGCTCGTAGTATTTTTGGGAATAACAACTATCAGTTATTGGAAATAATTAGCAAGCATAAGAAATACATCACTTAAATAAGGGAGCGAATAACGAAAAATAGTCGCGTTTTGTTTACGCCTTCAAGTCTACAATACTTGTTTGTAGGTTGTGGAAAATGAAAAAATGCATATGCTCAGAGTCCTTAGGAAATAGCAGTTACATACAAACAAGAATTTACCTTAAAACAAAGTACGTAAACTAAAAGACAAGTAAACTTACCACTTCTAGGGTACCCACCAATGAAAATTAGGGGCTCATTACTTAGTGATGCAGTATCGGTGTTTGATGGATCATTGCAAGTTGGAATTATGCAGGGAACAGCGTTCATATAAAGAAGGAGACCACAAGAGCATAAGAGAATGACGAGGATGCACTGCAACCGGTTGCGAGATAAGCATATGAGAGGCATCTTTGCTCCTTCCTGAAACACAACAGGAAGTTAAATAAGGGAACCCCGTGAATTAAGGTTCTTGACATGAATGGGTGTGGTTGAGGTGAACTAAACACTAACAGTGGGCATTATGTCAGGCAAATGAACTGCACATGAGTCCTTGTGGAGCAGTAGAGAGGAAAAAATACGTGTACACATTAATGTACTTGGTTTGATGTTACAGCAAGCCAGTCTAGTACTTAATATAAGGTGTTACTTTTTGCTAACAGGTGTGCTTGGAAAAGTCTAATTGTCTCACCACTGAAGTGATAGTATTTATTCACTAAGCCTTTAGCAATATTTACTTTCACATATTCCTGCTCACCATGTAAAATAAACTTTATCAAACGTTAGTAAAACGGAGAATTTACTGGAAATTAGATAAAAGGCTGTGCATATAAAAAGTTGAACGGATTTTACTAACTGTGGCAAGCAGTTATCGTTTGAAATTTAGGGTGTTTATTCTACAACTACTTAACCAAAAAACCTTTATATAAAAGCGTTGAATTATTTGAACACTCTTATTCAGTAAATAAATCATTCTGCCCACTGTTTTTGCTCGCGTACACATTTGATGCCCAAACTTTTAATGTTGCATGCAGATGCTTCCCTCCCACTTACACTGAAGAACTAAAGGTAGTGTAAATAGCAATGTTATTAAGTAGTCTCTGAAATAATTGGAGTTTTATAAGCAGAGAAGATTGCTGACTTGGAAATACCTAAAATCAAAAGGAGTTTGATGCTATTTGGGTGACTTCGCAGCATTACCATTAACTCTATCCAGTAGAAGTTCTATTTAGCGTAAAATGAAATTAAAGGTAAATTGCGAATTCTAGAAAATCTGCAGCACCGGAATTCAGAATGTGGAAGTGAAGTTGATAAGAAACGATGGTAGAGCAATTCGAAAGCCAATGGTAAAGTCTTATTTATGGCAGAACTCATTAGTAATTAATGAGCACCTGAATAGTACTGTTGTAAAAATTAGGAGGAGAACAAAGAGGTTAGATTCAATTGTTTGAAATTTAAAAAAGCACTTCAAAGACATCTCAGTGATACGTTTTTGTTGGATGATGATCAACTGAAATGAACCCATGCTTTGTTCACTCCATTCACAAATCAAGAACTAAAAAAGAGCACACTTGTCACAACTAACTACCTCCTTCCATCATTGAATTTTGGAGCAGATAGTTTTCTCCAAAGAGCGCTTAATGCGCTTGCTACTAATATCTCTTTGGCATAGATCGCCACTAGCTAGCTTCTTTCAAAAATTAGAGGAATAGTACGCCTGGATAGACTGACCCCTTCTGAGTACCCATTTCTATAAGTCAACATGGAACTAGGGTTTGATTTCGACCATAGCTCACATTAGTCCGATTACATGACCAGAAGGACACCATTTTTGGCTGAATGAGGAAATAACATGCTGAAAGATATTTTCATTCAAACCAACGCTAGTTCAAAAAGAATTGTCCGTTTTTAAGGTACAACAGTGGACAAAAACCTAGATGCAAACATCGCTTGTGATTTATTACCCTGATGCCGATTTCTGATAACAAAACCGGTGCAACCGCACTCAAATGCCCGTTGATTTATGGGCCAATAACTTAGATGTAAAAAATTATTTAAAACATTCGTTAACAGTGCCTACTATGTCACTAATAAAGTGGGCGTGCCGACTTGCATGAAACTCGACAACAGATTCAAAGCCAGGACAGAGCATTCAACAATGTTAAGACAAACAGACATATTCATCCCACATCCAAATTTTAAACCTCATCACTTAAATAACCTTAGTACAAACCACCCAATTTAACAAAATAATGATAGTAGAAAACAAAAAAGTGTTATTGAATGCACATATGCGTAGCACATCTACGGTGGTCCAAGTTCATAGTTTTTTAAAAACGGACGGTAGCAACAAGTGCGCAGATAATGATTAACAGAGAGGTTCTAAAAAAGTTTCAAAACGATGACAAATGTTGGTGGAAGTGAATATTGTATATGAAGGAATAAGGAAATATTGTGGAAGGATGTGTCAAAATCCCCATGAAGGTATTATTTGGACCGAGTATATAGTAGCTGAGTGGGGTGAATGAACTCCAACTTAAGTCAATTCCTTTAAATAGGGCTACTGTAAGATTCTGGAAAAAGTGGCAGAGATATCAGAAAATTGCTCAAATGCAGTATCACCTCTTAACCAGGAGCCAAGTTTACTATCACTATAAAGCCACACATTTATCCAGAAAATAAAACAAAAGTCTCAAATTTAGATCCACTACAAATAAATCCCCTAAACCAAAAGTTCAATTTAAAAGCGATTATCAATGGGGTCTTTGTAGA